TCTGTTACCTAAGTTCCAGTTATCAATTATAAGAGTAACAACAACAAAAAGTTCCAAAACATTGATTTTAAGGAAGTTTCAGATCGGAGTCCTAGGCTCCTTTTTTCTCTTTTCTTCGTTACGATTTCTATCACCTCCAGTTGCCAACTAAAAGTGACAGCACCAAGTCTCCGAAACATTGTTTTTGGAGTCTCGGATCAGAGTCCTAGACGCCATTTTTGTTCATCGCAACTCATCCATACACAAGATGTATTGGAATTCCAGAAAGCCGTGTCGCAGGTAGACAACCTGATTTAGAACATCCCCAGTTGGCGGGCGTTTAACCGAATCGAGGATTCATCTCCTCGCGCTCTCAAAGCGGAGCAGACACGATGTATGAGCAGTGTGTAATACGATGAGCACACGCACGCATCCAAACACGGCTGGAATATCACCAACACCGTCCCGCGGCCTGCACCCACGCAGGAGGTTCTCTCCTTACATTGCCGGTTGACTCGTGTTGTCCGGCTCTAGCACTTTGACTCGTTCCGTCTTTGTCCTTTGCACGGCTTGCCGAACACTTCATGCACGCGACACACAACCAACGTTCGGCACTTGGTTCCGGTACTCCTCCTTCTACGCCTCGTTGCTGCTCGAGAGCAACAAGAACGCCGGCAACGAGGCGGTCTTTGTTGTTCTCCGAGTGCGAGAGGAAGGCAGACATCGCTATTGGGGGGCACGTGGTCGAGAGAGAGAGAGAGAGAGAGAGAGAGAGAGAGAGAGAGAGAGAGAAAGAGAGAGAGAAAGAGAGAGTGAAAGAGGACGAATAGAGACGACGAACGAGGGACATATGCACCGCAGAGGGTGGGTGCAAGAGGAACAACACCAGCGATGATGCGATGCACCTGTAAGACAGAGGTGGAGGGTTCCGAAGCTGGAACGAACGAGCGAGACGAACGATGGGAAGAGGTGGAAGATCAAGGAACGGCAAAGTGCGAGGGAGATTGCGCGATATGTCGCATCCACAGCACCAGTGTGAAGGAGATAGCGCCGGGAGGATGTTGCGCCGAGTGCAAGGGACGTCCAAAAGCAGGGGTGTCGATAAAGATTTTTTTTAACTGAGAGGTTACGTTTCGAGCACGTTGTCGGGCGGAAAGTAACCTAAAATCAAACATGAGAGGAAATTTTATTTGAACGATGGAACGCGGATGGAAAGCCTGTGTACTCTGTACGTTATTGGTACAATAATTGGTAATTCTGGTTGTAATCGTTATCGAAGCAATAACGGGTCAAAAGTCGTTCGCCTTTCGTGAGTTGATCGAAATTTGTTTTGTCTATGTTTTGCGATAGGTTCTGGTAACGCCACGTGACTTATGACAGGATTGAAATTGGGGAAGCATCGTGCTCCGATTCGATAGAAATTTTGTAAGCTAATATACATAGTGCTCTGCAGTTAGAGTTAATAAAATGAATTGTATACAAATATTAAATAAAGTTATATAAATAAAATATATTTGCCAAACAGAAAATAATAGCCTATAATAAACTCCTGGGTATAGGCACAACGGACCAACGGAATTTTGTTGCAATTCACGTGGTTTTGTTACCAGAGCCCATTGTTTCGCCGAATGAAGCATAAATGAGATTTTTGCTCATCTCTATATAGAACAAAGTCATCTGTTGTCACCTGTACAGAACGGCAAATATTATTATTACAAAAATAAATTTTTTTGTATTTATATATATTCTCTATAGGAAGTGTTTTAAATGTAGACATTGATTTCTAAAAATATAAAAATCAGGGATAATAATAAGTCAACAAAAAGTGCATATACAGTCTCGAATGGGAAATACTTCTGAATAAAAAAATCTCTGAACATAACAAACTATTTGACAAAAATTTCGCTTCTTCGTTCAAAATTAAAGTTAAAAAAAATTGTTTCTCTGTATCTCTCGATAGTAGTTTTAAAAATACCAATAAACATGGAATTCTCCATTAGTTTCATAATAAATTTACCTCTCCACTAGCGAAACAGATTCTGAAACATTTCGAATAGCAAAAAACACAGAACTGAGGTTTATCGAGAACGTTTAAAATACGAACGTAAACACGTAGATGCAACCACTTAGAAATTAACGAGGAAATTAAATGAAATTTCTTTGCTGTTCAATCATAATATACGGCGAGTGTTTTGTTTCCACTCTTTTATACTGGTAGAAAGAACACGTGACAAAAATTAATTAAAAACTTAGGTCAAAGTGCAGGACGCCGGTAGCATAGCGTTAGTAAGTTGAATGACTATTAAAATTTCCAATGAAAAACCGCATCGACTCAGTTATATCGTAGGTCTTTAACCGAAGACGTATTCAGGATCGAATTTCTATGCATTCAAGCTCGATCTCACCTTTAGCTTTCGTTTTTAAGTGATTTTCGATCGTTCGAATCGATTCCAGTATGCACCAATTTGTTCTACATGTGTTATATATGCTCTCTCTTATATAACTGCAAGAAGATCATCGGTAGTACAATTTTTTTTTTTTTAAACAAATTGTAAGTTTACCACGTAAAAAAGCATAGAATTATTTTCCATACCAATACGTTGTAATGAGGTTGAGATTCAGGTCGAGACTCACACAGGCTACGTATTCGAATTGAATGGCTCATTAACGAGTGAAGTCAATTTACTCAAATTAACGAGGCTCGAACAAAGATAAATTTGGATGCGTGCTTGTCTTTTTAAATGGATAAAAGGCAGAGTAAGTAGTTGGCAAAAAGTATTAATGATTTCTGTAAAACCTAGCGAACCTCGAAATGGGTAAAAATGACTGTTTCTTATAATTTGATGGTACATTCGTAATCGTTACGAAATTAGCCATTATTGGTGTTTTCTGTGATATAAGGAAACACGAATCGCCCCTGTCGGTCGACGCCCTTGACTCCACGTACTGAGAAACGAGTCGAAGAGAGATGGAACGCGAAAGAAGAGAGACGACACGAGCCCGTTCTCTGTGTACATTGGTGTCCTCTTATTGGTGTATCGGTGTCGTCGTCGCCGTGGATGGTGTTAGTAGCCGCTCATTGGTGTTCGCCGCGGCGGCAAGCGGCGTTCACACGTTTCCCGTCATCCACTTCGGTACCCGGCTCGCAGTAGAGCGTCGTTCGTTGTGCGGTGCGGTCGTGGCGTTTCGTGATCCGTCTCGATGCATCGTACGTTCGATGTATGTGTGTGACCGTGCACGCGTTTTCCTTTTCCTTTAGACTTGTACATGTATCAAAGTGTTTGTGATAGTGCGAAAGGATCGTTTTGTGTTCGGTTTTTCTTTCTCGCAGTGCTCCAAAGGTGGATTAAAGACGTATCCCGGGAAACTCCAAAAATAAAAAATAGTATAGGAGTCAAGGTACTACATACCGACAGCCATTCTTTTTTGTAACGATTCCAGTTTCGCGCGCTGTCACCGCGAGAGATAGGGACACTCGAGGGATCTCGGTAAATTAGTGTACGGATTCTATTACATTTTTGCTCGCTGACCTTCTGTCATTTTTCGTTTTTTTGTGGCGTTTGCATCATAAACCATTCATCAACTCGATCGTCGTTGAGCGTGTCGTTTAACGCGTTCGCGTTAAATTTTTCCGCGAATGCGGCGCAACGTTATTAATCCCCGGTTCGTATGATACGTCGATTTGTTGGGGAACCGCGATAACAAGGAAGCTGCTGGGTGTTTGTTTAACGGCCCGCGGTATAAATTTCTGTGTGGTAGTCGGAGTCGTACGCGCAAGAAAACAAACACCGCTAATTAGAGTAACCAAGGGTAATATTTTGTGTTCGTCAGCGAAACACAACTCCGTCTTGCGAGAACCGTGTATTCGCGGGTTGACCTTTTCGTTCTCGTTGTGCTAATGTGGCCACGTAGTTGGAATCATCGAATAAAACATTAGTGCAATTTTATACTTTTCGATAGTTATTCTTAGCTCGATAGGTATTTTTACTTTTTCTTTACAAATGGGGTAAAATGTTTTGGCATTTACACGTTGCTCTACGTAATTGGAGCAATAATTGGAACAACAATACCATACAGACAAAATCTGAAATATTTCCAAAGTGTCCAATCATATAGATTACATATGTAATTCATGCAAAACGATACCAAGAAATATACTTTTTCTGAAGTTTCGAATAATTTGAGAAATACAGGGTTGATCATCCCCCTGATGTTGTCACATGGAGTAACTTGATCGTTTTAGCGAACTAACCGGTAACGCCATATCGCGTAACATTAACCTTGATAATTGCTTTCAGCGGGTTTGCTCAGTTCGTTGCCAACTCGAGTAGCGGTAATTATAGAAACGCTAGCAGATTTCAATGGCTTTTCGCGATATACGCCGGAAATTACGTCTACGGATTAACGCGTGTTCCGCGTGTTGTTGCACGGTTAAATCGGATCTTAATCGGCCTGACGTCTTACCTGGTCGGTAAGAGGACTTCTGGCAGGAAGGCCGTTATAAATATTTAAACTAGGCGTTATTAGGCGAGTTTGTAAGAATCACGTTGAGTTTCGCTATTTCTGTGTTTATTAAGCGGTACCCACCGGCAGCACCTTCGACGCGACACAGCTGTGTGGTAAATTAGTGGAAAGGGACACGGGGGTAGTTGGGAGTCGGGAGTCGAGGGTAATCGCCAATCAGCGTACATGGCTCATTAAATCATCGAGACAATCGACACGCTTTGCTCGGCCACTTTCTTCGTCGATTTCGTCGAGTTTATACGACCTACTTGCTTTCCTTTTTTTTTTTTTTCATTTCTCGCTCGGTGTTTCATTTCCGTGGTGTTACCAACACGCTCGAATGCGTTCAATTAACCTTAAATCAGTGTTTACCAAGGCAGGGGGCGCCTTACGTTCCAATGAGAGTGTGCCGAGAATATTTTCCACGCGGACAGTTTAGGGATGTTATCGTACGTGTGAGAGAAAAAAGACTTTTTTCCAAAATTTTTATTTCGCGTAATAGATAATCGTGGAATGTCAATATTTTTACATACGATGGTAGACGTGTTAAAGTCATAAACAATATTCTTGTTGTTTATTTTTAATAATTTTTTTCATTTGTCATAGTTATGTCAAATTTATTTTCCTTTTCTATGATTTTTTTATTTTTCTATGAATTTTTTTCATTTTTCTATGATTTTTTTTCATTATATCAAATTTATTTTCCTTTTCTATGATTAACACTATCACTTAACATTGGATTATGTAAAAGCAAAAATATCAAACAGATTATTGAATAGTGCTTCGAGTAATCTTTGATATTCAACGAGTAAAAAGTTCAATCTATCGCAATCGATAAAAATGATTAATTTCGTAGCAATTGAAATCTAAATAACAAACTATATCTGTCTATTTTGTGTGCAAAGATAGTTTTTCTACTTTTAGGCTTATTGGGTGCCTGTAAAAAGGTTTGAATAAACAAAATATAGTAGAATAGTATAATATAATAAAGTAGAATGATAGAATATGAAGTGTCTAAAAAGAATTTTGATACCGCTATCTCGAACGCTAAAAGGGATAAAATGAAGTAGTAAACGGCACAATTGATGCCACGACGACGCGTGATTCGGCGCGTTCGAATGTTTAAATATTCAAATAGTGGAACGATATAGGTGGGACGTTCGACCTTCGCATAAATCAGCGATAGTCATCGTATCGACGGCTTTATAACTACCCCATGATATAGCGGGATAGTTCGGTGGGTATCGTTGCGATTATCGTTCGGCCATCGCAGTTTTCTCTTGAATGTTAATTAACTGAATAAAGTGTCAGCGTTTATCGGGCGGCACGCGCCCCACACGCCGTTATTATGAAGTCGTAAGCGACACGCTTGTCCCGTCGCCATCGATGAACCGTAATTTGGTTAACGTTTGTGTGGGAAATTCTTCGACGCTAGATTTGCGAAACACGATCATTTTCACCTATTCCTATGTTCAGAAGGTTTTGTAGAAATTGTTTATAATTTTTCGCCAAGCACTTGACTCGATTTTTAGCTGGATTATTTTGTGGAATCTTATAAATAATTAAAAGTTCTGACTTCGATACTTCTATAGTTTCTGATCGATTAAAATAATAGTTCTATTAATTGGAACTATTGCATAATTTTTTAAACAATTTAAAATTAACGAATCTGTGGTACGTATTTATGTGGAACGAGTTCTGATCAAATTAAAAGAGTTGTCGAATTGTTCTAAATATTATCCAATATTATTGGGTTGTTCAGAAAGTCCATGCCGATTTTTTGTTGGTGGTGTAGGTTTAAATATATGGTTAAAGAAATGGTTGAAAACGAATAACATATATCCATCCCTTAAAAGGTGGAAAGGTTGTGAAACAAAATGGTACCTATGTAGTTCAATAAATATATATAAAAATTCAAGTATGCCTTTGCATTTTTCTTCAAACTTGGCACGAACTTTCTGGACAACCCAATGCTATAAAAATATATCTATTATATGTTATGAAATATTATCCGTTAGTTTTAATTGATAAATGATTAAATGATCAGGAAGTATAGAACCATTGGAAATGGTGTTTACACAGACGATGTTTCAAAAATTATCCAATAGATGTAATTATCTAAATTCTAATAGAACCATTACTTTAATCGATCGGGAACTGTAGAACTACTAAAAACCAAGTCAGAACTCATAATTATTTACGAGCTTTCACAAAGCGAGCCACCAGCTTCCCACAGCCGACGAGCATACACCCAAATTCAGCATTTTTTTGTCTAATCCTTCAAATTCATTCGAGTAAATCGACTCCACTTATTGAAGCATTACCTCGGTAATGGAAATCTGATACAAAATCTCCGTGAAGCTAGTGTTAAACTCGTGACGCAGCGCGCGCTGGTACTTGAACGTGTCGCGATAACGATCGCGAGCGAAAGAAATCACGGATATCGCGTGGTTAAGGATCTTAACGGCGATTAGGCGAGATTCGTGATAACTTCCTTCGTGACTTGCCTCGCGCTGCGTCCGGTGGCCTCCCTCTCCCTAACCGGACGTGTATAGGTGTCTTTGAACAGCTGCCGCGTGCGCCTGTTTATTTTCCTTTTCACGAATTTCATCCGGACGAACATTCCAACGTTTCCGACCATGCACAGCATCGCTTACGATGGAAATCGTCCGTCACCCTCGATCATGCATCAGGATAATACAAAATAATAGAGAAGAATCACGAAAATCGTACTCTCAATTCTCTTTTTTTTTTTTTTTTTTGTATAACTTGTTGATTTGTTTGTTTTTATTATTTAGCATTTTGAGGGATATTGACATGTATGCGTCTGCTTTTATTTACAAAAAACGATCAAAGAGGTGGCAACCCTTATACCACCAATACCACCCTTAAGAAAGAATTTAAAAATCATCCCTCGATATTCGTCAAAAATGTTAGCGAACGTTTACAGAAATAATTCATGAAAAATGTTTGATCGCGTATTTAACTCTCATGCTTGACTTTAATACAGTTACTGTTCTCCATAAATACAGACACCAAAACATGCATGATTTTAAACGTTACCGATTGTAACATCCGATATTTTCGTTAATATTTTGCGCGGCTGCCAGCCGCCATTGAAAGCATCGACATTTTTGTCTCGGTGTTGTCGATCGAGCGTTTTGTAAATTCCATCGATAAATTTTTCGTCGCACACCAGCATTCCACGTATTATGTACCGGTATACACGGGAACAGGCGATAAAGGCGTCGCGCGTTAAACTGCTGAAAAGTTTTCATCGGCTCGTCGCGCTCGTTTATTGCAAATTGATGGAAATGACTGTTCGAATTTGACTGGGAGTTTTTCACGTACTCTCGCTCCATTATACATCGCCTGTGAAATATATTATCCGCGGGGAATGGACTGTTAACGGAGTTACATGACTCCATTTTCATGTTACACGAAACACCATCCGGTGTTACAAAGAGCCCGTAATGACACGCATACGTGCGTGCAATCGTGATCACGCCGCGTGAATGATAACAACAATGAAAAATATTTTTCGTTCGATGGTCAGTTCCTCTCCGTTACGCTCCGGAGACTTTTGTTCCAGGTTACTTTTATTCCGTAGATTTTGCAATATTTTAAGGACGCAGCATTAAGAGTCTAAGTATTAAGTGTTTCTTGGGATACTTTTTTTCACAAGGAGGAACTTATGTAAAGTTCTTTTAATTTTGAGAATACCTTAGGTATGTTTCCAAATTTACTTGGCAATTTTTACAATTCATTTCGCACCGTAATCTTTGAGATATCAGTTTGTGGAGATGATAACTCAAAAATTAATTGTTCGATCGTTTTCAAATTTTATACACCGTTTGCCATTCCGTAGATCTTGCAATATTGAAAGGAGGATGTAGAATTAAAGTATTAAGTGTTTCTTGGGATATGTTTTTTCGAAAAGAAGAACTTATGTAAAGTTCTTTTATCTTTGAAAATATCTTTGATATGTTTCCAAGATTATTTGGGAATTTTTAGAATTCATTTCACACCGAGATCTTTGAGATTATATTGGGTTGTCTGGAAAGTTCATGCCGATTTTTAGTAGGCGGTACAGGTCTGAATATATCGGAATGGTTGAAAACAAACAACACGTGGACATCCCTTAAAAGGTAGAGAAATTATGGAACAGAATGGTACATACATAATTCAATAAATATATATCGAAATTCAAACGTGTCTTGGAATGTTTTTTAAAAATTGCCACGAACTTTCTGGACAACCCAATATATATCACTTTTTTTTTGTAAGTAACATTTTTTCAATCTGTGGAAACGATAACTCAAAAATTAATTGTTCGATCGTTTGCAAATTTTATACACCATTTGCCATTTAACATTCCATTTAACATTCCATTTAACCATTCGTATTGAAACATTTATTGCAATTCTTTGAAATTCATGGTATCTTTTAATAACGTCGTCGCGTTCAGCTTACACGAGGGTGCAAAGCACTTTCTTCCCGTTTCATTTCTTCACCCTTCCTTCGTTCTTTGTCGTCCGTTGGAAACACGCCTCGAAGATTAGGATAAATGCCCACGGAACGGCGCCGGAGCGTGGTTTACGCGGCTCGTAAATCGAACGATAAATTGATCGGCCGGATTCGTAAAGTCCCGTCCACACGCAACGTGGGCAAATAAATTATTTAAAAATCAATATGCGCCGCGTCGGTGGCGTTTCGGACGGTTTTATGGAAATCAAAAATGAAAGGGTCGTTCTTGTAAGCCTGGAATAAGCTTACAGTTATTTTTCCGTCGCATTCCCATACATTCGATATTAATTTTTGGATAATGGAAACGTTGAAAATTCGTTGCACTTTTTATACAATATTTTTGACAAGAAAAAAATCACACAATATTAACAAAATCTAAGTAAACGAAGCAAAATCAATCGGGAACATGTCTTCGCGTAATAGAATTTTAATTTATTCATTGAATACACTTAAATTCTGTGATCGTTCGAAGAAATTCCCATAGTAAATTATTATTTCCGGCGACTCAACTTTTCGCAGCTTCATCAAAAATTCTACACTGGACGAAAAATAGAGCGCGCGGAGTTTCAGACTCCACGATCGGGTGGGGGGACTGCTATAATCAATCAGATGGGACGTTTAAAGGGAACTGTAGTGTGGGTTGTGTGCGCTGCCTCACCCTACCAATTGAGGGTAAAACCCAGCTCGCGCGATAGCTGTCAATTCTTTGGACAGCAATTTAATTCTGACGAGAGAGCGTTGGTTCTCGCAGAGGAGAGCACCGCCGCGCAAAGTCACCCTGAAAATACACCGAAAAAGTTTGCAAAACACCTTGAGTTCTGTTCGAACGATAACGCGTCGTTATTATGTAACTAGCGAGTGGACGATTTTTCCAAGTTTGTTTACAAATGTTGCCGGGCTTCGTGATTGTAATTTCTTGTTGATGCTCGAGACGAGTAAGCCAGACCTAGGCACGTTTAAAATGATCATATGCGAAGCATGATTTCGACAACACCGTGTAAAACGTGATATTTCGAATAATATTTGTGCTTATTTTATTTATATGAATTTTTGGAGTAACATTATTTGGAATATTATCTCGAACAACACTTTACTTCATTTCACAATTCTTTTCGTGTTTGTGATCAATTACGAAGTAACGTTATTTGAAATATCTTTTTAAAATAACACTTTCTTGTATTTCACGATTATTCTTATACTTGCGATCACTTTTGAAATCGCAGTATTTGAAATATTATGTTTAGACTGCGGATTTTTATCCATTTATAGAAAATTTGAATGTGCAAGAATATTAAAAAGATTGAAGATAAAGTTCATGTTATAATATTTACAGAGTAAAATAAATTCCTATTTATTTTGATATAAAGATCCGCGGTCTAATTATGTTAAATAACATATTATTTTATTTTACGTAAAGTGTACCGTATAATATAAAATATATATTATATTTTATACGATATTATTGAAATACTATTTCACGTAACGTGTTATTGTCTGTTATCTGTATAAAGTTTCACTTCTTTATGATCAATGTAACAAGCAAACTCTTGGCAACACTAAAGATAATGAGGGAGGGAAATCAAGGATTAAATTCTCCTGTTTATCACAATCGTCACAGTATGGTAAGGTATTACCAATCAAACCTGGACAAATTGTCCACTTAGGTAGATACTTATTCTTCATCGTTTGGAGAAACCAAAACGCTGTTTTCGTTTCTATGACTCATTTGTAACGAGGGTGTTCTAATTACAGGCGGCGAGAGGTTCCAGATGCTGAACGGCGAGGGAAGACCGCTGGCGTTTCTCCAAGATCCTGAGAATGTCACCGCAGAGATCAGCCCAGGGAATGGATCATGAAGTAACCGTGCACAAAGGCCACGTGTGATTCTTTGCGAAGTATTTAGCCACAATTAAGATGTACCCCGCGCCGGCGAGACACCCAGCCGCTGCCGTAAGTACTTGCAACTATATACCCTGTGCTCAGAAAATGTCGTGTCTAATTTTAGGTGCGGGTAGTATTCGTGAAAATGATCGAAAAAGTCGGTGAAATTAATTTAAGTCGTATCAAGGTATTGAATCCTTTGGGCTATGAATTTCTTGATGCAGTAAAAGTTGAATGAAAATTCTTTTAAAACATTCTTCATCCAAACAACACGAAAAGTTAAATGCCATGCTCCCTATATATGTAGTATTCAATATTTCAATTTAATTTTGATTTCAACTTCTGATTTTGTCTATTTCGTCTATTTTGTTCTAAATATTTAAACACCATTTCGTTTAAATTTGAGGTACGGAATATTTAAATCGAATTTTCAATCAACGTCAGACGAAGACTGTTTCAAACAAATTTCACGAAACCTTTCTAAAAAAGCATTTAAATTCAATATACGATAGGTAAAAATATTTGAATAGAATTCCTGTGTTACCTCGAAACGTTTGGTTAAAAGCTTCGACTGTCGAAAACAAGAGAAGTTGATTCGTTCCAAATACGATAGTAAGTATCGAGAAAGTTTCGAAACAACGTTGCCAATCTTTTTTTTCTTTTTCTTTTTTTCGGACACGGTGTACAGGACGATTTCTTTTTCGCTGCGCCTCGTCGTTGAACTTTCTTGATTGCGCGCCGAGCGAAACAGTCGGATCTCGGTGTTGCGGTAAAAATTACGACGGGTAAGTGCATTACTCGGCGCAACCCGAGACACCGCGAACTTACCTAATTTTTATCGTGTCCGGCGTAGTTTCAACGCGTACGGGGAAACTGTTAATTTTTGTAATTTTCTTTCCGCGGGTAATTTTTATGACTTACGTTCCAACACGAGGTATGAATTATAAGGAAAAGGTGTTTTCGACTTTGTCTTGGAGGTAAATATTATCACGGGAGGAAAAAAGTCTTCCTTAAAAATTTAGAAACAAATTTTTTTATCGATGCAGAGAGAGAGAGAGAGAGAGAGGGAGTTTAATTATTCTGATGACCTCGATGTATTTTTGCAAGTTTATTTCAGTGCTCTTTCTTTTGATAAAATTTGTCAATATTGACCTGAGAGGATTTATTTCCTGAGAGGATGTATGGTCGTCTTCAGATGGAGTATAATCTTCGAAAACAAATATAAAGTATACAGTGTATCAAATGAAAGAATCATCAAAAATTACAAGATCGTTAAAGATGAAATTAGAGTTAAATGAAACTTATACGAAATATGACAAAGCAATAATTCATACTCTCCGATTATTCTGTCGATTTTTTTCGTATCTTTGAAAGTTTAACAAGAGTCTAATTTTCCTCCAATTGTTCAGTGTCCTTTCTTTTCGTAAAATTGTTTCGTAGTACTGTTCGAATATCAGAAAGTGTGTTTTTCTAAAGGTTCTATGTAACCCCCAGTATATTTTCATGAGCGTTTGCCCGGCGCTTAAAATGTTTAACCCTCAGTTTTCGAAATTTGAAAAATTTTCAAATTTCAAATTTGATCGACCGGATCGAACAAAAGTTAACAAAATAAACGTCGGCTGTGAAAATTGTTCAAATAATAAATACATTGATATTTAAAAAAATTTAATTTGAAAAATCAGGCTTCTAAAAGGTAATACACGGAGTTTCTCAAATCCCTGATACCTGAGTGACATTATTATTTTTGTGTCGAAATTAACGTATAGCTGCCAGCACTATCTTCTCCATCTCTAACTCAAACCGCCCCCCGAAAAAGCTTAATTGTCGTTCCATCGTGCAATAATAGCACGGTCCACGCGCGAACAGGCGCGTACCCTCGCATTTTTCTCGTTTCCACGGTTGAAAAAGCTAAAACCGCGAAAGGGCAAACCAAACGGTGGCGGTTGCGAGGCTCACGGAAGAAAGCGCGTCGGCACGGAGTAATATAATTGCGGGGTCATCGTAGAAAAAGCGTTCTCCTTTATACGGTTTACTCGGGGCGCCTTTTAGATTCTCATTTTCTTACTGCAAATAATTCCGCCATTCAAAGAATGCTTTGGACCCGGCGCCCTCTTTCTCCTCTCTGTCCGTTTCTTCTCTCTCGTTCTTTTTTTTTCTCTCTCTCTCTCTCTCTCTCTCTTTTTCTTTTACCTCTTTCCAACCGCCGTTATAATTTCACGCGTCACATAAGCTCAAAGTCCTTTACGCGAAACGAGACCACCGGGGAATTCGCTGACACAGGAGAGGAGGCCTCTAGAAATTGTACAGATTATTTATAGAGTAAGAGAGAGGGACGGTGGGACGAGCGAGTCAACGTACAACAATTGCAGTTCGCAGAAGCAAACGGCCACTGACGATATCTGGCCCGGGCGCTCCTCGTTGAGTTGTTTGCTTATTGGCGCTAATGTGGCGCCGTTCAAGGGGCATAAAGTGGTTCAATAATTTCCACGTGAGGATTCTTTAAGCGTAGAATCGTTGTTCGGATGATAATACTGCGAATCTGTTCACGGTTATTATTCTTGGATCATCGTATAGAACGGGAGACTCGTTAAGGGGATATTCTTTTTTATTTGATCAGGTTCGAGTCATCTGTACATATAAAAATGAAAGTACTCGCTGATACATTAACGGGCAGACTAAACCCTTGCATCTAGAAAGCTGAAATTTTGCACAGAGGTTTCCTTTACGACGTATACAAGGAATAAGAAAGTATATTTCGAAATTCAACCACTAAGGGGGTAAGAAGGGGTTGCAACGTTTGTACGAGGAATATTTTATTTGTCGTCGGATTTGTTTGAAACTTGGTCTTAATGCTCTTTGATACAATTAACCAAACACCTATTTCGGCATTTAAAAAAATTCAACCTCTAATGGGGTGAAAAGGGGTTGCAATTCCTTTCGCTTTCCTTTATAATTAATTTCCTGTTCCTTTATTATAAAAACAATTTAGTTAGGAAATTTGTCAGTCCGAACCATTGGGTACATTTTTAGTATAAAATAAAAATATAATTCAACGCAGGTGAAACCGCTGGGCACAGTATTTAATAATTCCTCTCGTTAACTTTAAAAGTTCCTCCAAGCGAACCATATTCGACATGTTTCTAAAATTGTAACGTTTACCCCGAAAGAATTGAAAATAATCTTGCTGTGTAATGAAAATAAAATTATTATAATTTAAGGAATGGAAAGGGAGACCAAGGAAAAGGAAAAGGAGTCCAATCGAGTCGGACGACTCCTATTCTTGAAAGAGATTGGCAACGCTATAGACGAGTATGCGCACGTTATTATCGAGCATCGTGAACGATTGGATATTAACGGAGGAAATTAACTCCTGGCGTGCACGGTTTTGATTCAATCGCGAGTATCTGGTAGTTTGGGCGGAGTCATGTTAATTATGTATCACAATAATTCGGGATTCGACGATCCGTACGGCGACATTGGCAATAGTTAACTACTTATTAGAATATCTGTCGATATTCATCTATAATAGCGGCTTACAAAGTTTTTGGTAGCCTCCCACGATGCACGAAACAATGGCTGTATTTGAAATGAATTAAATAGCTGAATGTACAGTTAAATGATTAATTTTAAACAGTCATCGTATCGTCTCAACATTTTCGTTGAAAGTTTCTCTTACACTTACGATATTATTTCTTCCACTAATGCGCATTTCTTACTCTACTCTCTACCTCAAATAATTATATTAATTACCGAGGTTGGTCCTAAACTAGAAACTTCAAACATTAAAGTACTAAAATGTTTCTCGAGTTGTTATATCACAAGTCATACCAATATAAACATAATTGAGGGCTGTGCTGCAATAAGGAGGTAGCTTCATTTTGTTATGATCTTCAGGCTAGAACATAATCACGAATTTAAAACATTCCATTTTTTTTT